CAGCTACAGTTCTTGTATCTGCTGACCTTTACCCTGGACTGACTTGCTCATATTTTATTTAATCAGACTCATCTACAGTGCAAAAGCAGGATCCTTCTCCACCCCCCTCTCCCTCAATCAGTTTCAGTTTCTGAAATAAACTTTTTTGTTATTTTTCCTCTAAAGGAAAAATATTATTTCATTTTCTTAGATAGGATAGGAAAAAATAGCTTCATCTAAATTGAATAAAGGAACTGCAACAATTAGGAGAGGTTTCATCTTCTCCTAGTCATATCTGAAAGTGCCATATATTTTCATGATCCTGATTGACTCATCTGCTTGCTATGAATCTGAACATCCTGGGAGTTATAAAGGTGTATATATCCTTTCTTATTCAGTCTCTGTCACTAGTTGTGTGAACTTGGATAATAATAACAGTATGTCACATTGATGTGGCATTTTAAGGTTTATAAACATTTACCTCACAACAATCCCGTGAGAAAAGGTAGTATTTTTATCCCCATTTTACTGATGGGGAAACCTAGACTCAGGGAGACTAATATTCCTAAGGTTACATAGTGGCCAACATCACAGTACCACTAGTATTTGTGTGAGCTGGGATTCTCAACCAGGTCTTCAGACTCTAAATCTAGTATTTCCACTACACTGTTTTGCCTTTCACTTCTGACTTCTCACTTCAGGCAAATAAAAACTCATCTAGAAAACAAGAGTATTGAACTAAAAGATCCCTAAGATCCCTTTAAGGTCTATATGATTCTGTATCTGCATCTAAAACTGTCTTGTTATTACATGGATTGAGGAGAGCTTAGAAAACGTATTTTTCAATGCAGGAAAAAAACCCCATTTCATTACTGGAATGGATATTTTATATTTTTTTATGTATTTGTGTTTTATGCATACCACCTTTTAGTTCAATTAGGTGACTCAAAATTAATTTGAAATTTTTAATCCAAATTGTTTCATTGAAGATAATGTGTGGCTGTATCAGAAATCTGTAATGTTGACAATGTGGGAATTTCTTCTACCAGCATGGATCACCATTCTTCCATAATTTTAGTAGATAAGTCTTAGAGTTGTCTGAGTCTTAAACACGTTAGGTGACTTACCCTATAGCAAAATAGCTAATAAGTGTCACAACTGGAATTTGAATTCATGTCTTGGGCTTCAAGTTCAACTCTATAGCCACTACAACAATGGCCTCTCTGATAATGGTTGAATATTTATGTCTTATTGTAGCACTTTGTTTTACTACTCTCTAATGTACATTAGGCAGGTAGGTGGCTCAATGGATAGAGGATATAGGGCCTGGAGTCAGGAAAACCTGAGTTCAAATCCAGCCTCAGACACTTACTAGCTGTGTGACCTTGGACAAGTCACTTAGCCTCTGTTTTCATCAGTTTCTTCACCTATAAAATGGGGATAGTAATAGTACCTATTTCTCAGGGTTGTTGTGAGGATCAAATGAGATAACTGGAAAGCTCCTGGCACATAGTAAGTACTATATAAATGTTAACTATTATTTTTACATATTTATAATATTGTATATAGCAACTATGTTTTTCTATTAGACTCTATATGAGTGGGAATTGTTTCTTATCTAAACTTCCATATTTCTTTTGTCACTAGCATAATGTCACTGGATACAGTACTTGATTAATACATTATTTTTATTTTATTTATTTTATTTTTTTATTTTTTGGCTAGGCAATGGGGTTAAGTGACTTGCCCAGGGTCACACAGCTAGTAAGTGTTATGTGTCTGAGACCGGATTTGAACTCAGGTCCTCCTGAATCCAGGACCGGTGCTCTATCCACTGTGCCACCTAGCTGCCCCTAATAAATTATTTTTGAAAGAATGATCTGTGCTTTAATGATACTGAAAGAGATATGTATTACTTTAGAAGGCTATATTTAATCAGCACTTGTTTGCTTCAGCAGTGTTTTCTTTAGTTATTGCAATTCTTGCCCAATGCATTTCCAAAACTATACCAAAGAACGTTAATGTGAGTTATAGAAATACAACATTCAGTCATTCATTCAACAAGCATTTGGAGCCTATGTTAATGCAGGGTAATGATAAATATTAAGAGGGATACCATGACAACAGAGGCAGAGTTTCTGTTCTCAACTTTGTCATCTACTTGCTATTTTTGAATCACAAACTACTTTATATGCATTCTATTTGTGAAACAATAAATCAACAAGCATTTATTAATTTCCTACTATGTGCCAGGGAATAGAACACTGGGAGTACAATGGCAAAAAAAGACTTATCTTTTTTTCTCAAGTAGAAGACTTGGGAGACTCCCTTATCAGATGGCAGTAATGGAGGGATTAAAATTTGGCCTGATTCCTTATTAATAATAAAAATTCAACAACAGCAGACATTTTAAGGGCTTTCTATTTGGAAGGCATTGTGCTAGGCACCAGGGATACAAAGTTAAAAATGGAACAGTCCAAATCCTCAAGAGGCTTACCATTCTATCGATGGGATCACAGGATACTCACAAGTAAGTCTAGTACAAGGGAAATAGAGGAGGGAGAGACAACTAATAATTGGAAAGGATCAGGCTTCATGGAGGAGTTGGCATCTGAGTTGGCCTTTGAAGAAAGGACAGGATTCTGAGAAGGAGAGATGATGGGGTACTACCTCCAAGTGTAGGGCATGGCTTGTCTGAATGAAGGAGGTGGGAAATGGGGTATGAGCTCTGGGAATGGTTAGCCGTTCAGTTTGGTTGGAAGCCAGTGTTTATGAAGGGGAGTTGTATGTAAGGAAGCTGCAAATACAGATTGTAAATTATAAAGACAACTTGGAAAGATTTAACAACTCTAATCAATACAGTGAGCAATCACCATTCAAGAAAACTGAGGCTACTTTTGGCCTGAGAGCTGATGGAGTGGGAACAGCAGAGTCACACACACAGACACACAGACACAGACACAGACACACACACAACACACACACACACACATTTTTGGATATAGCCCATGTGTGAATTTGTTTTGCTTGACTGAATATTGGTTACAAAAGTTTTTTTTTTTCGGGAGGGGCATGGTATGAGGGAGAAAAAAATAAATTATTTTAAAAAAAATTAGGTTGGAGGCAGGTTGTGGAGAGCCTTAAATACCAATCTAACGATTTTGTATTTCATTTTATAGGCAATGAGGAGTCAGTTGAAAGTTTTGGTGGTAGGGGAGTAAAATGATCAAACCCATGCCTTTGGGAAGATTATAAAGGTCAGACGACAGAGGTGAAACTGGAACCAAAAGAACAATAGAAAGCTGTGACAATTTAGTCTCATGGAGGTGGGTCATGATTGCTACAAAGTAACTTCTTTCTAAGAGGTGAGCCTGCTCCTGTCTCTCCTCTCAGATCCATGAGAGGCGGGCCAACTATAGTGATAATTTCTTGGTTTGCCTCTAATCCGTGATGGGGCTGCCACAGCGTCCAGCGGACGCTAGGGGGCCACCCACTCCCATACTCAGCTAGTGCCAGGCCCCCAGCAGGACGCTTGTTGCGGAGAGCATTGCTCCATACATGAGGGGGCTTTTTATGTGCGGCTGAGGCAGGCCGATTGCGTCTCTTACTGGGTCCGTGGCACTGCGCGGTTCGTTCACGTTGCACCGCCTTTGGAGTTACCTCCCGTGGATTTGAAGCTGCGCCCGCTTCTCCCTTTGGCAACGAGGAAACCCTCTCCTACCCCTTCAATTCCCTGGAATCCAGAGGGGGAGAGAGAGAGAGAGAGAGAGAGAGAGAGAGAGAAAGAGAGAGAGAGAGAAGACGGGGTTCCAGGGCTGAAGGTAAAATAACAACCCAGAGAGGAGGGTCGCAAAGAAGGCGGGCGCAGTGGTGGTAGCAGCAGCCGTCTCCGTCCTTCTCCTGGCGGCAGCTTTTCTCTGCATTGTGCCTGGGTAGGGGAAGAGGAAGGAAAAAGGGCTGGAGAGGGGAGAGGGGGTGAGCCACCCACTCTCCCACACCTGGATGTGTTGTGCAACAATGTGGCAGAAGTTGGCACTCCCTCTCTTCCCTCCCTGCACCTTCCCCCACTTCCCATAAGTTTAACCCCAGAATGTATCTCTTCATCAGGCCGGGATGATTGTCCTTTTCATTCTAAATCCACTCTTGCTGATATATACGGACTTCCTTGAGCTTGAATGTTACTTGGTTATGCTTTTAATCACTGCGTGATTAAAAAATGATCTAGAACTCCAGACAGATGAGATTTCCCCCCACGAACCCAATTCTCTGACCTGAAGAAAGAAAGAGAGAGAGAGAGAGAGAGAGAGAGAGAGAGAGAGAGAGAGAGAGAGAGAGTGAGAGTGTATGTGTGTGTGTGTGTGTATGCGCGCATCTGTGCTCGAGTGTTGTGGTGGGGTGAGGGGCGCCCGGGAAGAGACAGCAGCTCTCTAGCAAACTTTTGCAAGAGGAGCTACCCGGGACAGCAGGGAGGGGCTGAACTCTTGCAATCTAAATAAAATGAGTCATTTTGGGGGTGTGTGTGTGGGGGAGACTTTACTTTTCTCTCGTGTTGCTTCTATTTTCCTTTGGGATAGCCTGCTAGACCTTGGTGGGGTAAACCCAGAGCAAGCTGAATACTTTTCAGATAGGCCAACTACTGTCAAACATCTGGAAATGTGGCCCCTCCCTTTTCCCTGGGGGTGGGAGTGGAGTTAAAAAAAACCTCCAATCTTCCTCCTGTTAGCACGTGGCCTCTCCTCGGGTCCATTTTAAATTAGGTTTGGTCTCTAGAAGTTATATTTAAGGCTAGCAAGTGCAGGAGTCTTCCTGACTTGGCCATAACTAGTGTAGAAGGTCCCAGAAGAATTACAGTGTTTTCTTGGCCCTTAAGGAATGGCCTTTTGTTAATCCAGATGCCGCCGCGCATCTCTTTTCCCCTCCCCCTGCATTGTTTGTGTTTTAAACATCTGGCGGGGGAATTGAGTGGGAGAGCTGGAGGGGGATGGGGGGCTACCTCGAGGTTTAAGGAGAGAAACCCCTTACTTTCCCTCCCGCCTGTAACAGACAGGGTCAGAATCTGGGACGAGAAAGCAAGCTTACTCTGGTTTTCTTGCTGATGTGCACCTCTCCTGGAGACGTCCCGCCAGGCCTTCTGTGGTTGAAGGGCAGAGGGAAAGTTACTCGATTCCCCCGCCTCCTTCCCCCTTCTAGTAGCCGAGGGCACATTTCCCAGATCTTATCACATCCGCAATTCAAAAAGTGCATCGATCTGTAAAAAGCGCAGCTTTTAACTTAAAAGGAAGAAAGAAGCCAATTAAACTCGAGATGCACTGCAATTTTTCTCTGAGGGGCTAGTTGATTTGAGCCCCGAGGGTAAATACTGTAGCAAAGCAGGACTGCCCCTCAGTAGGTGAATGAAGGTGCAGCTTGAAATTCCAAAGTTTGGGGAAGCTTGTGGTTCTGTGGACTGGTTCTCTGGGCTTGGGTGAGTGGGTGGGAGGAGGCATCTGAAGAGCGGTAACCGCCGTAACAGACTGAATCGACCTAGAAGGAATGAAGGTATGAATCTGAAGATCCCTAAGCTCTTTAATTAATGTCGTCAGCGGTAGGAGTTGGGAGTGGGGGAGTAATGTCGCTGAAGGGTTTGAAGTAAACATTTATTTTGTAAATTGAGAACTCCACAAATTAAAATTTTGTTAATTGCAGAATAAGCAGATCAAAGTTTGGTGAATTCCATAGTAGGCACTTGATTATCTTTTGTGGAATGAACCGTATTTACGAGCATGAGGGTCAATAACAGGAGGACTTTTAGTGCTGTTCAATGCGCATTTTTTTGTGTGACATTTCTATTTCCGTTTAGATCATAGACCAATCTCCTTCATTTTCCATTTAAAGGTGCGGTGTCTAACCATCCAATTTAAATATTGTCCAGAAAATCGCTCAAATTGAGTGTATCTTTTACAAAAACATTGTGCAGTAGTATATACAAGAGAAGCCATACAAGAATACAGCAGATACACAGAGATGCCAGACCTACTCAGGAGACTTGAGATGGAAATGTTCTGTTCTTTTCTTCAGTTTCTTCCCCAGCCTTTTTTGTAGAATGTCAAGTGTGTCCCTCCAGTTTCACCCAGGGGAAAGAAGGTAGCTGACCTTCAAACTAAAGCTGGGTGACCTGTACCTCACCTCTTGGCACAGTTCATTAGAACTGGAAATTACACAGTTGGTACTGTGTAGACTAAGGACTTGGTGTAGATTGCAGCACTAAGTCATTTCCGGCACCCTGTAATTCAAACCGTAGCACTGATAGGCTGGTTTGGCAGGCTAAAATACAAGTAAGGAAGAAAGTCACCTAATAGCAATGTCTAGGGGTGGTGTAAGGTAGTGCAAGGACGCATATCTTTTATTTTCTGTTTTTATAAATAATAACTATAGTAGTTAATAATGATAATAGCTAAGATTTCTAAAGCATTATTATGTGCCAGGGACTGTGCTAAGCACTTTACAGTGATTATCTCATTTGATCCTCACAACAACCCCAGAACATAGGTGCTATTATCCCCATTTTACAGATGAGGAAACTGAAGCAAACAGAGATTAAATGACTTGCTCAGGGTCACACAGCTAGTAAACGTGTGAGATCAAATTTAAGCTTAGATTTGAGGTCTGTTGGTCATTTTTAATGCCAGAAAACAATATCTAGCATTTAAATAACCCTTTAAAGTCTTCAAAGTGCCGTTGAGCATTTACTGTGTACTAGGCACTTTGCCAGGTGCTAAGGATAAAATTATACAAACAAGATAGTTGGCTTCAAAGACGGATAAAGGAGTGCTGGAAAAGAGAATGTTGATGATAGTCTTAGTGGGACAAGGAGACTGCAAGAAGTATAAAATTCCGCTTTCTATGACAACTAGGCGTTTCTGTCATGCTAAGTCAGGTTACAGTTGTGACAATGAAGACTCAAAGTCTACTGTGAATACACCAGGTGCACCTTTTTCTAAGCTTAGATGCTGCATAAAAATGTCTTCTGCAGTTGCTCCTGTAGGCACCTCTCGTCTCAGCTTCTGTCCTGTTTGCAGACCTTGTGAGTCTTGATTGCGTATGAAAAGAGCCAAGAAAATAAATCAGTAGATTAACTAGAGATGACAAGGCCTCTTTGTTTTCTTATTTCCAGTTATCACTAATTGGTTTGAAAAGAAAAAAATTCCTGAAGCATGAATGACATTCAAAATTTTCTCATTATGAAAATGTTTCCTAAAGACAGTATTACATAAGGAGGAACACAGAACTGTGTTTTTACTAGAAACTTCATGAATAATACCATTGTAAACGTCCAAGGCAATGCATTCCTTCTTTTGGTCATAGTTTGGTGAAGAAAATGGCATAAGTATAGTGGAAGACAAAAGCATAGTATGACTTCCTTTCATATCCCACGAACAATTCTGATGGCTATAAATTATTGAAATTCTTGGCCAATTCTATATTTGCTCCTACACTATTTTACTTACACTTAGGAAAATTGTAATTGTAAATTACACAAATCAGAAGCACTGACATCTGTGAGGAGAGTGGTTCAAGAGACAATGACACTGTTAGAGAAATCCCTGAAGAACAGTCATTCTGTACTTCATACTTAGTTTGTGAATCCAGGAAATGTCTCCAGAAGATATCAGAGCTTCTAACTGCAAACTGTAGTTTAGACAATATTTAAGTTTAGACAATACTATCTGTAGATTAATTTGTTTTTGCTGAATGAGTTGTGCACTAATTCACCCTGTTGTTTTCTTCTTCTGTTTGCTTGCTTTGTACTCCTTCATTTTTCTTTTTAACTTCTTGACCCAGACTGTTGAGTCTAGGACTTCCTATGCATGGTGTGCCTCATGTGCAGACAATCTAAGCTTGTACATATTATGCTAAACGGGGTAAAAAAGTATATAGTTGAGAAGTTTGCACATAATCTCTACCAGAAAAATTCTAGTGATTGCAGCAAGTAAATTCCCTTCCCTTTGGAATCCTCCACAGAGATACATTTTCTGTGTTTGATCCTTGCTTGAAGGTGGACGTTTCTGAAAAAGATGGAGAAATAGCATTTCACAAATTCGTTGAACTTCAGACAGGGACCTTAAAGTCATCAAATTCAAACCATAAATCCCAGCTACAATATCCCTGAAAAGTGTCCCCTGATTTTCCCTTATAAGTCCTCTTGTGCCAGGGAACTTACTACCACAAGGGACAAGCCTATTCTACTTTGGGACAGCTTTAATTATTGTTAGTAGCAGCAGATAGTAGCTCTTTAAAGCTTTGCAAAGCACTTTACTTTCCATTATCTCATTAAAACTTAGCAACAATATCACAAAAAATACCATAGATATTGCAGATAATATCTCCAATTTACAAATGAGGAAACTGAGTCTGACAGAGGTTATATAACTTGCCCATGCTCACACAACTGGTAGAATGTGGCAAGCATGATGTGAACCCAGTGCCAAATTTAGCACTTTCTCCACTAAGGAAAGATTTTCTTATATTGACCTGAAAACCCCACAACTTCCAGAGTGTCCAGCATTTGATGTCAGAGGACATGAATTAAAATCCTAGTTCTGCTACTAGCTACCAGTGCAAGAGCCTAACTTTTCTGGGTATTAGTCTCCTCACTTTTCCAAATAATTTGTCCTGCTTTTGTTTCTACAGCTAAATATATGAAAGGATGAGCTTACTTTTGGAAATTAGTTGAAGTAACACAATGTGAATTTAAAAAATATTCATTCATTCATTCAGTAGTTAACAGATATTTACATGGCACCTTCTACTGCAAGGTAGTGGTAGGTGTTGAGAGGTATAGGGAAATAAATAAGGTACAATTTTGTCTTCAAGAATTTATGATTTATTTCTATTATCATCTATTAGTTATTTTGGACTTACAGAGTATTTTCTATGCATTCCATTCAAGAAACACATCATAAATCAGTAGTTTGTACTAGATGACCTCCAAGATCCTTTCCAGCTCAAAATCTTTTTTTTTCTTTTTCCCTCCACTTAATAGTATTTTATTTTTTCCAATTACATGTAAAGATAGTTTTCAATATTGACTTTTACAAGATTTTGAGTTCCAAATTTTTTTCTTCCTCCCCCTTCCCCAAGACAGCAAGCAATCTGATATAGGCTATACATGTACAATCATATTAAACATATTTCCACATTAGTCATGTTGTGAAAGAAGAATCAGAACAAAGGGGGAAAACCATGAGAAAGAAAAAAAAACAAATGAAAAATAGAAATTAGTATGCTTTGATCTGCATTCAGACTCCATAGTTCTTTCTCTGGATGTGGATAGCATTTTCCAACATGAGTCTTTTGGAATTGTCTTACATTATTGTATTGCTGAGAAGAGCTAAGTCCATCAAAATTGATCATCACACAGTGTTGTTGTTACTGTGTACAGTGTTCTGCTTTTGTTCACTTCACTCAGCATCAATTCTGAAATCTGCCTGCTCATCATTTCTTATCACACAATAGTATTCCATTACATTCATATACTACAACTTGTTCAGCCATTCCCCAATTGATGAGCATCCCACAGTTTCCACTTCTTTATACCACAAAAAGAGCTGCTGTAAATATTTTTGTACATGTGGGTCCTTTTCCCATTTTTTTATGATCTCTGGGACACAGAATGGTAGTAATATTGCTGGATCAAAGGGTATGCACAGTTTAGCCCTTCAGGCATATTTCCAAATTGCTCTCCAGAATGGTTAGATCAGTTTACAACTCCACCAACAATGCATTAGTGTTTCAGTTTTCCCACATCTTCTCCAACATTTATCATTTTCCTTTTTTTATCATATTATTTAATTGGCTAGGTGTGATGTGGTGCTTTAGAGTTGTTTTAATTTGCATTTTTCTAATGAGTAGTGATATAGAGCATTTTTTATGTAACTATAAGTAGCTTTAATTTCTTCATCTGAAAATTGCCTGTTCATATTCTTCAACCATTTATCAATTGGGGAATGACCTGTTTTTTTATAACTTTGACTCAGTTGTCTGTATATTTGAGAAATGAGGCCTTCATCAGAGATGCTGGCAGTAAAAACTCTTTCCCATCTTTCTGCTTTTCTTCTAATCTTGGTAGCATTGGCTTTATGTGTGCAAAACCTTTTCAATTTAATGTAATCAAAGTTATCCATTTTGCATTTCATAATGTTCTCTATCTGTTGTTTGGTCATAAATTCTCTTCTCCATAGATCTGACAGGTAAACTATTCCTTGTTCTCCTAATTTGTTTATGGTATCACCCTTTATGTTTAACTCATGTCTCCATTTTGACCTTATGTTGGTATAAGGTTGTAAGGTGTTGGTCTATGCCCAGCAGAGGTGAGGAATCTGTGGCCTCTATGTCCTCAAGTGAATTCAAACTTCACAGAACAAATCCCCTTAATAAAAAAGATTTATTCTGTAAAACTTGGACTCTGTCAAAAGGCCACACCCGAAGAGTTAGAAGGCCATGTATGGCTTCAGATTCCCCACCCCTGAGCCCAGTTTGTGCCATATTGCTTTCCAGTTTCCCCAGCAATTTTTGTCAGATAGACAAAGCTGGAGTCTTTGGCTTTATCAAGCAGTAGATTACTATAGTCATTGACTAGTGTGTCTTGTGTACCTAATCTATTTCACCGATCAGCTCGAAATATTTAGTTTTAAACGCATCATTTGGTCCCAGTTCTGTTCTCTGATGTTAAGCAAGACAAAAATCTAATTAACTAGGTGGTAAATTATTGCAGGCAGTGGCTACACAGGTAGACCGTAATAGTAGTGTGCCTACTCAGTCATTTAGATAACTTAGGCAAAATGAAACCAAATAATAAGAAAGAAAAACTGTTTGGCTTGATTTATTCATGATGGATAATTTCCTAAATCCTGGCTTAACTTTCTACTTCACAGAAGAAGGAAACAGAAGAAAAGTATCATATTTAGGATTCCCAGTGCCAAGATCTTTATATTGCCTTAAACATTTAATCGCAGATTTCAAACATTCGGGATGAAAGTTAGTTAGTGGAAAACACTGCTTTTGTGTTAGGTAAATGTTTCCTAAATTTCCCAAAATAAAATACTAGTAACAACAGCAACAATAACAACAGCTAGCATGTACTTAGCGCTTTAAGATTTGCAAAGCGCTTTACAAATAATATCTCATTTGGTCCTCACAACAACTCTGGGAGATAGAAACTATTTTTATCTTCATTTTACAGGTGAGGAAAATTAATCAGAGGTTAAATGACTTGCTCAGGGTCACATAGCTAATAAGTATGGAAATTCAGATTTGAATTCAGATTTTCCTAATACCTCATTTAGCACTTTATCCACTGTTCCAGTTAGCATATTATAATATAAATACCTATAGTTGTTCATTTCTAGGTGTTCTCTTCAAGTTTTTCTTTCACTTTTTTGTTTGTTTGTTTTTGGTAAGGCAGTTGGGGTTAAGTGACTTGCCCATGGTCACACAGTGTCCAGGGCCAGTGCTCCACCTAGCTGCCCCTGCTTTATCTTTTACTTTTTTTTTTTTGAGGTTTTCCTTTTTCTGGTATAAATAACTTTTTTTCTTGCCTGTCCAGTAAATATGAGACATTAAGACGTTTCCCTTAAGGCATTACAGAAACTTTACAGTTTGGAATAATTTTCATAGAAAACCATGCTATTTCTGTTTTCAGACTGTACTCAGAAAATCACAGAATGTTAGAACTTGAAAGGATCTTAGAAATTATTTATCTAGTTCAGCTCCCTGATTTCACAGATTAGGAAACTGAGGCCTAGAAAGATAAAGTGACTTATCTAACATCAAAAACTAGTTGTTTTAGATAGGAATCTTGAACCTGGGCCTTTTTAGCTCTGAGTGGCACCTCTTTTCATTTTGTTTCTTTATGACTTAGTGCTTCTCAGATTTTATGTTTCTTGTGTTTTGGTGTTTTTTTTTCCCCTCCATCAGTAATTTTCAGAAGTGAAGTGCAAGAGAAGGGAAATGATACATATTGCTCCCTTCACTTGGCTTCAGAATACTACACATAGCTGTAGCTTGGACACACATGGTTCAAAAATGTCAGCCATCAGTCTCTCCATGGAAAGAGAAAGGAAGTCTTTTTCCTCCAGATGTTTTTCATGGAAATTAAGACATTTTGATAGATTGTAAAATTTGAGCAAAATGGATTAATGAGCTGAAGTGTCAGATTTGACAACACATGATTGTTGCTTAAGTGTTCAGTGGGTTTCAAACAGGGCAAAGGGAGTGAGACCTTGTAAAAATGTGGAGAAAGGAAAGGGTGAAATAAAGAGGAGAACAGAAGATAGAAATACTACTGTTTTTTAAACTTATGTTGAGGCATATATAAAGAAATATATTAGTAACTAACCCTTCTTTACTACCTTCCCCATATTTCTCACTTGTTTGTGAGGACTAGTTACTGAGAAGATTGTTCCAGGGACTTTCAAGTAAGATATTCCCCCCCAAAAAAAATATGAATAGGCCCCACAGTCAACTAAAAATGGGCTAAACTTAAGCTCTTTTAAAATTTGTTTCTCATGTCCACATGTCCAAATATCCTTTATAAATTATGTCAACAGTGGGGATCATCCTTACTTCTATTATTTTAAAGATTATCGGTCTCTCAAGAATTTTGTGGTTTTTTTTCCTGAAATTTTTAGAATTATCTTCTATATTCAAATATTTCCCCTTTTTACTTAATTAGTTTCAGTCTTGAAGAAGAAAAAGCAGAATTGGGCAGAAGAGTAATCATTGAGAAGAGTGATTATAAATGACCCCTCAAGTAATTAAATGCTGTGATCTTTGGACTGGCCATACAAGTCTAGACATTGAATGGATGGCAAAGGGCACACATATGCTAAGTAGAACTAAAGATAGATGTACAGTATATTACAAGAGGAAGCAGCAGTTGTTAAAATAATGAACTTCTAAAATGTAAAAAGTGTAATTTTTGGAGGGAAAAAAGGATTTTTCTTTTAAAAGGTACCTTATTATTTGAGTTGTGATATGAGTTTCTGAAGTATGTAGAAACATCTTCTCATTTCCAGTCGGACTATTTCCCATGCACAGTGGCTATACTTCTTCTCTTTTAGGAAACTCCCTATTGTCTTGAAATATCTCTTCAGTTCCAGGTTGTTCAGCTGGAGGATAGCAAGTCCTGAGTAACTAATTTCATCTTCTACCTCTTTCTCCAGCTCCTCCTTTTCTTTCTCATCTTCCTCCAAGCATTTTTGTAGATACTCAATTTGCTGATCAAGTCCAATTTGAATTTTTTGAATATTTTCGACTTCCCAAGTGTGTGGGGGATAATTCTGACTGAAGATGTTGAAGATGTGTTGGGACATCTCATAGATGACTATCTTAACATCCTTCAGAGATTGGTCAGGTGGTAGAAGCTCCTGGGAAAATTCAAAATCCATCCTTATACTTAGACATTTGCGAGGAAACTCTTTGTTCATCTTGCTCAGAAGTATCATGGCTTCCCAGTTGACGTTTCTTAAATAGGAATAAAGTAAATTGCAGTCCAGAGAGGAGACGCTGATGACCAACAAAAAGAAGTATGCAGACTTTAAACATTTTTGGATGTTGGACATGACACAGTACTTGTCAAAACTTTAAAATCTTTAAAAGGTATTTGTGAGTTTGGCACTGACTTGTTCCTTTATATACCTGAATTTATTCAGCAGGAGGAGTTTTCATTCGTCATTTTATAGCTCATAGTGTTTACCCCTTTTCCTATGCCTTTGAGGCTTTTGACTTTGAATGACTTACACATTGACTTCTAGGAATCTTATCAGAGACTTTTAGTTGTGAAAAAATGAGCAAAGTATTACTATTTTTGTTGCCTTAGTATCCTAGATGATCTATACTTCTAAGCTTATAGAATCATCTTAAGTAGATTGATCCAGGGACTTTCAGTGCAAAAAAAAATGTGATTAGGCACAAAATCATCTGTAAAAAGGGCTAAGTTTTAACTGTTTTAAAATAAATTTCTTATGCCCACGTGTCCAAATACCCATTTATAAATGATGTCAACAACTGACCTCATTATGATTTTATTACTTTAGGGGTTACTAGATTATCAAGAATTTTGTTTTATTTTTCTTAAAATTTTATAATTATCTTCTATATTCAAATATTTTTCTCCTTTACTTAATTGAGTTCAATCTTAGGAAGGAAGAAGAAGGACAATGGGAAGGAAGAAGAGGATGACGGCAGATTTTAAAATCCTAGGACTTTAGAGTCAAAGGCAGATTTTACAGATCATCTGATTCAATAGACTTGTTTTATAAATGAAATTGAGGCCTAAAATGGTTACATAGCTAGTTCTTGACAGAACCTGGCCTAGGGCCCAGGTCTTTTGATTTGTCTGTTATTGAGGTGTGTTAAGGTGGTGCTTTTGAAATAGTAGCTTATATTCTGTGGTGTATAACAAACATTTCGACTCTTTTAAAAGTTTTGTATTCAATGAAAACTAAATCAATGCAGCCAATGATGCCATCATTATATCCCTCTCTCCTGCTTTCTCTTGAGAACTTAGTAAGGGTTTTTCAACCTTAGTTGGCACTCAAATATGTAAAAAGATTGAGGGATATATTTCTTTTTTATTTACTTAGTGACTTCCCTTAAAGTATTCTATCTTTGTCTTTCCCAGTCTCCTTTTTCCAGCCCCTCCCCCAGTCTTTATTCTAGATAGTTCAAAACACTGGGGTTTTATAGTTTTCCCTCCTGCTTGGGGATTTTGCCTAACAAAGACATTTTCACTCTGGAGACTGAGTTTTAGAGGGACTAATTCATCTGGGAAAAGATGTCCCTGTGTTTATGGAAATGGCTTCCTATTGGATGTTTTAACCTTTTTATCTTGATTCTCATTCTTCGGCATACACCCAAAGGAAATGGATTATTTTACAAGGAGAAAGTTATCCTAATCACTCCTTGTAACCATCATCTTCTTCATCAATAAGCCTTCATTTTTATTTTTTTGTACACTATTCTCTGCCCACAATAAGTACATAATAAATGTTTTAAAATTTGAATTATTGAATATAATATTTTGGAATAATTATTGACATTGTCCAGTAAGTACATTTCCACAAATGTGATTCATTTACTAGGCATTTGTTATTCATCTTTTACATGGCACATACTATGCAAAATATTTGGAGTACTCAAATCGGTTGGTAATATCATTTATTTTGGGTAGAATCTTAAGTCTGAAGCTAGAAGGAACCCCTAAATTTTACAGATGAGAAAACTGAGGCCCAAGGAAGCTAAGTGATTTGCTCAAGGTACTACAGGTAGTGCCAAAGGTTAGATTTGAACCTAAGGCCACTGTTAACAGAACTGACACTCTTTCCACTCTACCTTGCTCTGCTTAGTAAATGTCAGAGATGGAATTTAGACCTGCCTGCAGAACTAGTATTCTTTCTCATATGTTCTTTCTTATAATGCTAATTGAAAGCCTGCCCATCCTATGCAACTGTTATCCATATCCAAATTGGCGACACTTTTCTCTCCTTTTCCTGACATCAGTAGGATACTAGTGGATTATGTGTCTGTCTACCAAGTATCCTTCACCCTTGCTGTAGAACCATCCCAAGCCCATTTCCTCTTTTGGCATATATTTTCTGGATGAAATCTGTGACACCTATTGTTTCTTATATATTTTAGCCTGCTGATTACTAAACATACACACAATATTCATTGCTCTCTCTGAGAGCAATTTTCAATTCTTTTGAAAGAATTTTCAGTTCTTTAAAGACTTGGGTTCCATGTCTTCAAGCCATACTCCCCAGGTAGGGTTTGAGGATACAAAAACAAAACAAAAAAAAGTAAGTTTCTGACTTCAAGGAACTTACCTTCTTTTGGGGAAAACACCATGTTCCTAAATGAGAAAATACAAAATAGATATAGACTTTGTTGAGCATTGATTGGAGACCAGGCTCAAGGAGACTTTGAATAAATAGATTATGGATGGACCATAGTCTACTGGCTGATAGTTATTGTTGATTTTAATATAACACCAGTAATTGTTTTCTCTTCAAAGATACATTACACTGTAAGGTTTTTTTAAGTTGATCCCAATTTTGCAGGATGATTTCAATGAGTTATCTTAAATTGAACTCCTTAAGGATAGGAACTAGTTGCATTTATTCAGATACTCTCTTCATGCTCTTATTCAGTCCTTCCCCTTCTGTATTCCTCCTCCCACCTTCAAAAGAAGATTTTTATTCTTCTTCCTCAAAATCCATTGCATTTCTCCTATAGTTTTCTTCCTGGCAAACAACAAAGCTACCTTAATTGTGAAATCATAAGATCTTTTGAAGACTTGCAAATGAAGAAGAAAGAAGAAAAACCTTGTATGCTGAAAAAAAATTACTTAAAATTCACACCTCTTACATTAGTCAGGTTTTTAGCAGCTCTGCTAATTTTGAAAATTTTGACTTCCAGTAGTAGTCAGTGTTGGAATTCCTGGGGCTCACTGCTGTCTCTATTAATTTCAACACCTCAAAGATCTCTATGTTCTTTTTTGATTGTGGATGCCACCTTCACCAGTGAAGATTGGAAGACTGTTGTAACTTAGTAGATGGTCTTTGAAAGATGTGATGACTAAAAAACTCTATCATAGCTTACCTGGTGCTGATTATCATAGAACTTAACTAGGCAGGATCTTGGATAGTAGACATACAAGTTCATCACTTAAAATATTTTCCAGTTGGTAGAACCTCCCAGAACTTGTGCTTTATTGACACAGCCTTCAAAAATGAAGTGCTATTTCTACATGGCAGCAAAATGGCAGAGTAGGCCTTGAACAGAAGTACGGTTTCCATATTTCTACAATTTAGCCTTGTAATTAGTAATCTGCCCTCTGTCCCAATATGTTGGTCAGTTTTATCCTAAAAATAAGGCAGAGAGGGTTTTGTCATATGAATAAAAATAGCATTTTTTAATAACTTCAGACATTCTTATAGCAATGCCTACTTCTTGATATTTGTGTATCACTAGTAAGTATTTATTGATGCTTAAGTGACAAGCTCAGTACTTTGCACATAGTAGATGTTGAATATTGAAGGAAAGATGGTTTCTCTTGTGTTTGCTTCCCAATGATCATTTCAGACTACTTATATTTTTCCTGAAGCCTTCATGCCTATATATAATAAAGAATTAAGGCAAGAGTATTTGAAAGATGAATGTGAATCTTCTTAGAAACATAAAATTTTTGTACTGGAAGAGATGTTAGAAATTCTGGCCAAACCTTTCATTCTACATATGAGGAAACTGAGGCTCAGAGTAGCTCGTAACTTGCCCAAGATCATCCACATAGTTTGTTAGTGGTTAAACTGGGATTAGGAGCCCTGATTCCTCACTCCTATTTTTCTAGGCTGGTTACATGTTACTCCCTCTCATATACTCTGTTGTTCATTGTTTTTCAGTCATGTCCAACTCATGGTGACCCCATTTGGGGTTTTCTGGGCAAAGATACTGGAGTAGATTGCCATTTCTATCTCTAGCTCATTTTATAGTTGAGAAACTGAGGCAAACAGTTAAGTGACTTGTTCAGGGTCCCACAGCTAATGAAGTGTCTGAGGCCAGATTTGAACTCAGTAAGATGCGTCTTCTGACTTCAGGCCTGGCACTCTATCCTTTGTGCCACATAGCTACCATCTTTGGACTAGAGAAAATAAAATGTTACAAAATTCTACTGGCAGAATGTAAGATCTTGAGGGGAGGAAGACAGAGACTGTTGTTTTTGTTGTTGTATTCCCATTGCCTAGGTCAGTGTCTGATACATGGGTGTTTAATAAAATACTTGTTGAATTGATAAGTAGGTGATCAATAAATATTTGTTGGGTGAATGAGCAATTTAGTAGGCTGTATATTAACATGTGTTGCTGTTAGTTGTAGTTTCCCTTACCCGCACTTTAATTTTATTTAACAAAATTTTTTTAAATAAGCATTTACATGCTGTCCCATCTACTTTTGCCTCCACATTTACTATCCTTTTTTGGCCAGAACTGAATGAGGTCCATGTGAATGGATGAATAGTAATGGTTGATGGGCTCGGCACTGATGGCTTGATAAGACGTAGATGAGACATTAGAGTCTAGACAGTACAGCAGTGATTAAGCTATGGGGTTTTGGGCTATTATAGGTGAGATTTATTATTACTGAATCTTAGAAGACAAGTTTCAAACCTGTGTAACACTAATATACTTATCATCCATATTACTCATCTCATGAAGAAATATATGTTTATTTTGGTGGGGTCCAAAGGGGGATATTGAGCCCCTCACAAATGTGTTTAATCATGATCTTAGTGATTATAAAACTTTCTATCCATTTAGATATTCTATCTAGTGTTTCCCCAAGAAGAACCCCTTCTCTGGTCCTTAATGGGAGAGATTTGTGTAGCAAATATCCACACTGCAGTTTTCTTTTTGTCCTCTGCTTCCCCTATCCCTCCATGTTAAGTTCCCATTATCATCCTGTCCCCTGACTGTCTCCTTCATTTCTACTTAATCCTATTTTAATAGTATTTCATCTTGGTGAAAATCTGGCTATTTTGGAAAAAGAGTGGACAATGAGACTGTTC